TTTTAATTTAGTTGTAAGCTCTAGAGGATAAGGTCAACTCAAGCCTGAGGTGAGCCCCATCACCTTTATATTACAGATGGAGAACGAAATACTTAGAAACGACAAAAATCTAAAAATAAACCTTACAATGCTTTTAAGCAGTAAAAGGTGTATTATTAAGACAATCCAAGGATTAAAGACAAAAATAAGTATAAAGGGGCTATGAAAAAAAAAAAAAAGTATTAATATGACTCACTTCTGGGAAAGTATATACATTTAAATTACTTCCAAGAATCAGTAAATATATAAAACAAAGTGTTAAATTGCAAACTTTAAATAAAAAATTCAAGATATTCAGTGAAGTATTTTTGAATTAAGTTTTATTATTTTAATTATATCATTTTTACAATAGAGGTCTTCTTAAACGACCTCCGTATAGAGTAAAGGAAGGAATAAACAAAAACAAAAGTTGTTTTTATTGCCTAAACCAATTATTTTTTAATATTTTATTATTTTCTGACTATCCAGCTTTAATAAAAGACGAAATAAAGACAAATGCTGATCCTCAGTGACCAAAAAACTAACTAAAGTCAAAGTTGTCAGTCCGCCATGTTTGGGCACTATTTTGGGGCAGTGCGCTCACTTTTTTTGTGGGAAAATTGCCTTTTTTTTTAATAAATAGTTACAAGGAACACAACGATATGCAATTTACAGGATTGTGGGGAGGGTGCACGGTAGAGGGGTCTGGCCCACCTTATATTCTATACTCCCTCTAATCCATGGTACAGATTCCTTTTTATCAAATTATTAACATCCGCATAAAACTGCAGGAATGGCTTCATCTTATCGTAACCTACAATTTTTTTATCTACGAAAATTCTCAGAAATGGAGCGTTTTCTCATTAAATTAATTAATTTAATGAGGCACTAAAACCTCATAAATACCCCTTTGTTTTCTAATTGATTAATAAGTTAATTTGATCACTAAATCGAGAAAAAAAGGTGATATAAAAAGTATTTGGCCGTTTGGCCTATATGATAACTTCGTTGTTTTGACTTGTTCGAGATGGAGGAAACGCTAAACGGCCCAATATTTTTGTAGGCCACAATTTTTCTCGATTTGTGATCTAATTATATTATGCTTCAGATGGAAAGCTAATGAGTTTTTGTGAATTTTTATGACCCAATTAAATAGACAAAGTCTGCCGATTTCCAGATTGAAAACCATAGACGCAGACTTTCCATTCTGGCTGGGGAAGGGGGAGAGGGCTATCACCCTCTCTCCCCCCCAAAAAGTCTTGGTAGTTTATATTATAATATTATGAGTGATAATTAAAATAATCAACATAATTATTGTAAAACGAACATAAAATAATATAACATATTATAGTTGTTTTTTACGTATAGGTATGTTTGAAAATATGTTAACAAAGTAATTGAATATAATTTTTTTTTTTATTTGAATGTTTGAGGCAGTGAGATGAACTCTCAATTCTCCGATGTTTCAAATTTCCTGCCGGAAATGTGATAAAATTTTAATGTAAAAATGGAAAGGTGGATATGAATAAATTATAAAATCTTAGGATATGTTGCTACAAATAAACATCTATGAATATAAACTAAAATTTCAATAATAGGAACATAGGCTGTAGTAAAATATCTACTTCTAGCTAAGCTAAGTAGGCATCTAATCGGCTTTTCCTATTTTCTTAATGGATTTTAGATTACATATTTTATTCTTTGTTGTAGATTAATTGTTATCGATTTAATTTAATTTTTTTGAAATTTTTTTCTTTGAAATATTGGAGGAGTGAAACGATATTCTCGCCCCTCTTTATTTTTATTAGGAGAGAGAGTGATCTCCTCCATCCCCCCTTCCCCCAGAAATCTGCGCCATAAAAATAAAATTAATATGATATTATACAATATTATACTCCGAGTCTATTGGACCAATGGTTTTGAGATTTCGTATCAGTGTCAAATGGTGCCCTAGAATGATCCTCGGAACTTAGCCCTTATTATTCAAGATGCCTGATCCCAAATAATGACATCTCCTCTCAAAAAAAATAATTAATTTCTTAAATTGTTTTATATTAAGTAATATTTGAATTTTATATCATAGATTATGTCTCCAATTCAGTTGCGTTATTAATAGACTAAAATAATTGTTTCCTCACACGCTTTGTGACTTTTTTTTATTCCTAACTATTTATTAAAAAAAAAAAAAAAAACCAATGTTCCCACACAATAAAATGAACGCACTGGCCCAAAATGGCGTCCAAACATGGCGGACTGACGACTTTGACTTGAGTTAGTTTCTTGGTCACTGAGAATCAGCGTTCAGCTTTTCCTCATAATTGTCCTTTTATTAAACCTGAATAGTCAGAGAATAATAAGACATGAAAATATATTAAAAAATAATTTACAGACAATAAAAAGCACCAGTAAAGTAAATCATTTAAAAAAAAAAATTTCGGATCAAGTTGAAAATCAAGCATCGTTTGTAATTAAAGGGCCAACAAAAACGAAAAACGTCTTAAAATAAAACATCTGGGGATTAAATTTTTACTTTCCAAATCACTGCTTACTTTTTAAAATATTTGAAGCAGTTCCAGAAAATGCACTTAATCTGTGGAAAAGCGTTAGTGGCGTAGGCGCCCTACAGCCTCCTGCCACACCATTCAGTACTCATAAATGACATAGTTATAGAGCTAAAATAATGTTTTTGGTAGATTATTTTGATTGTGTTAACAAACAAATATTAATGCAATAATATATAATTGACAAAAAAATATATACATTTGTTTTTTAATTATATACGGAGGATGTTTATGAAGGCCTCTATTGCAAAAATGATATAATTGTAATAAAACAAATAATTCAAAAATACTTCACTGATTATTTTGAATTTTGTGTTTAGCGTTTATAACACTTTTTTAAATATATTTACTGCTTTACTGAGGTTCATTAAATTGTACTTTCCCGGAAAAAAAATATGCTACATTAATACCTACTTTATAAACTAAAATATATACTTAATCTGAATTACATACAATGAATAGTCACTGATAAATACAATTACTTCATCCGTTTATTTTCTTTATTTTGTCATGTGGTGGGCCACATTATAAACGATTATGTAATTTTAATTATAAGTACTTTATATATAATTACATTATTAATTGCATAATTATATAAATTACTTTATGTATAATACTATCCATAATTAGGTGTTTCAAAGGTATTTAAATTCCTAAAAATAAAAAAGAAGTTTCATCTGAACCATAGTACTATTAGTAAATATAGCTTTTAAAAGTTTGCGAAATTTTCTTAAGAATAAAAATAGAATCGTTGAAATCGGACGATTTTAAGCAAAGATTGTTTCTAAATATTTTCTATGTATTCTACTACAATGCTGATATCTTTATTTTGGTTTATTATTTATGGAAAGTTTTTATCAACTGAAGCAGTCGAGATTTTTGTCTATATTTCTTTGCAGATTACTGATGAAAAAAAAAATTATTTAGACTAATATTAGGAATTACGTATTATTTATTTTTATTGTTGCCCAAATGTAAGACCGAGACGAGTCTTGGTCTTGCAAACCCAGTCTTGGCTATGGTCTTCGTCTTGCGCAAGAGTCTCGCAACAATCTTGCAGTTACTTATTAGTTTATTACTAAAGAGATATTACTGTAATTTTTTAGATAGGAGAAACTTAGATAGGAGAAACTAAGCCCGAATGAAAAATCAGATGATTTAAATGCAAAAGTATATTGGTCATACCATTTATTAACATATAGAATGTCAATTATTAGTAACTATTTTGCCTTAATTTTTATTTTTAAAATCGATTTTTTTACCAGTCCTTGTCTTGGTCTTGCAACAGTAGGAGGCCTTGGTCTTGGTCTTGCAAAGTGCACTTTGCAAGACCAACAACAAGACCAATTTTGGGACATACTATTTATTTTCCTCTGTGTCACAAGAAAAGTAGGATTATATTTGACATGCAGTTGTTTGGAAATAATAAAACATTGTGTAATTAATTGCAGCGTTTTTTTATACTGTAACAAGTTTAATATAGGCGGTTTCAGGTTAATGATCTTTTATTTATAGAAATGTGTCTTGACATGAAAATGGGGAAAGGAGCCTGAAACGTTGTCACAGGTGTTTTTTAATGGAAATTAAATAAATTATGGTAAAAAAAGGTTTGAATATTCCTCTACCCTCTATCCAGATAGAATGTAAGTGCATACATTAGACAAGAGTGTCCACAGCGACGATAAGCGATGAAGCACGATCACCGACAGGCGGCCAACAACTTGATTCTGCGTATTGATAAAGACCAATTTTGATGAAGCTGCATATCATTTTCAACAGTCAAAACAAAAATCCTTGCTAATGCAATTAATAAAAGATGGTTGATTTTATGTTTATTATTGTTATAAAATTTCGAAGGAAATTCTTAACTGCGCCCCTTTTACATTCGTATCATTTAATTTTAAAATTTTGGACTACTCTCCATTTTCAACAACCAAGTTGTTATCCTTTCTAATTTTGTTTTTCATTTTCAGTTCTCGCTCAGTATTCCAAGTTTGTATTTTTATTTTAACCAATGTTAAACTAGTAATCACTAAAAGTGAAAAAGGAATATATTTAATGGCGAATATTTAACGGCGATAAAATAATTTGAATTATATGTGTTTTTAAAGCTTCCACTATTAATAGAATCGCCATATCAGGAATTATTAATTTATTTTTAGATCTTACTGCCAATTAGATCTTAATCGTTACATATAGTGTATTTTATCTAAACATACGTCTACCCATTAGTTGACCTAATCAATACAATTACTTACAGTATCAAAAATTTGAATATTGTCACAAATTCAAGAGAGGTATTCAAGCAGGTAATGTGACAGAAAACACTGAAGGACAAAACTTTGTCAGCGCTGATTAAAGATTCTGCGAAGTGTAAAATTGTAATTACATCATTACAGGTATATCATGTGTTTACTAATTGTCAGATTTGAATTAATTACTTTTAATTTCATACTTAAACGCTAATGGAGTTCTCAACGTTCACTTAAAATAATGATATAATTGATACTTGAAATCACATATAAGGTAGGGAAATCTTGTTTCAAGTATCTTCTTCCATCATAAGAACTCCATAGACAAAGAACACAATGTTGGCCAAAGGAACTATTCTAGTTTTTGCCGCTATCAATTTAATGATGGTAAGTTCATTATTCTTAATATTGGATTTGTTTATTTTAAAATAATTGTTTATTAATTATCTTAAATTTACAAATAAAAGTTCACAAGAACGGAAGAATTTGACATGCATTTGATTTATTGTTGCAATTAGAAATGGATACACGTTGCTAAATTTTTTTTTAATAACTCGAGATTTTTGATTTTTATAAATTTTTTAATTCTTTTTTTTTTTTTTTGAATGAATAAGAAAAAAATGCTTCCGTTAATACTAAATGAGTATGAGTATAGTACTAAATGACCCAAATACGCTCCTAGTAAAGAAGGTCAAATACATTTTTGTTATGAAAAAGCAATTCAGATTCGTTTATAATATCTTTTGAAACTCTTATATACGAATTGGTTTTAAAATAAAAAAAATATGAAGAATATATTTTGAAATTGATTTTATTGAAGGATTTTTATCCACCCTTTAACCAAAAGCGATCCTAATTCTCGAGAATTTTTTCCTAATACAACTGTTGGAAACCCCTTATAGTAACTTTTAGATTTTACAGAGGTCAGTACCATTTGGTGTAGCGTAGCTCATAGGATCCTAAATCCCTGATAATTTGCGCGTGGATCGACGAAGTTATCTTGAATCTATCAATTCTTGTGCTTTCGGAAAAAATTGTATGTTCCAATGTATTCAAGAATTGTGTGCAAAAGTTTTTATTTTTTCGATCACTATAAAATGTCGTATTTTTTGTTGTTTTTTTGAGGTTCAAAAAAGAAATATCAACTTTGTCTCTCCCCCCAAAAATATAGTATCTGCTAAATATAATATTGATCTGAACTCCATCAGTATGCTGAGTAAATAATAATCTTCCTACTGAACATAAAAAATAACTAATAAAAAAATTTAAATATTTTTTCAGAATTTACTCTATTATATTTTTAATAACTCCTAAAGTTGATATAAAATAAAACCAAACAATTAATATTTTCTATTTTAATTTACTTTCAAGCATATTTTGATCATCCTTAAAGAAATAGAGAATAATATGAAAAATACTTTTGTATTTTTTATTTTTATAGTTTAATAGGGAGAAAAAATATTGATTTATAAGAGAACTTCAAAAATAAATTTAAATTTAATCTTGAATACATGTGAGGAATTAAGTTAGAAAAACTTAAATTAGAAACTTTGATCTAAAATTATTTAAATATATGAGACTTTACACTTCTGACAACATTGTTAATGAATTTATGCCATTTTAGTAATTAATATAGTAAAAGTAAAATTAAACGTTTGATTTCTTTTTCTTGATTTTTTTTATTATTTTCTTCTAATTGCTTACGTTGTCTTTTCATATTAATTAGGTAACAGCTTACAGAGAAGAATTGAAGAGGACAATTAGTGGATGCCAAAATGGAGCCGAAGTTACTGATGGTATGTTATTCATGGTTAATTTTAAACATTATTAAGAAAAATATTTAAACTGTGACACAAAAAAATTTATTTAAACAATTTAAATTTTTTTATTAGGTTAACCGCATAAGTTAGAACAAATACAAAAAGTCAAGATTTTATTGGACTATTATTAAAAAAAAAATAATAATAAATAAATAAATATTTCAATTAAAAATTAGAAACATAAAGAGGAGTTTATAAGTATAATGTACACATTTTTTTTTAGAGGAGCTTGAGGAATTTGAAAAACCTCTCATTCCAAAGAATAACGAAGAAAAGGTACTTAAATAATTTATTTGATATATGCATGTATGTATATTTATATATATATATATATTTTTTTTTTTTTTAATGTAGTAAAGTTCCTAACGTCTTGGGTTTTGTTTTAAAATGTATTTATCATTTCAGTGTCTGATGGCATGTGTCTTCAAATCATTTGGTGTGGTAAGTACAAATATTTCATTATATTTGTCTTTAGTTAAATAAATGCTTAATTTACAGTAAAATAACCTACAGACACTCTGATATTGAGAAGGTTATCTTGTACATTCATTTGTAATGAACTTAAAATAAAAATTATAGTTGCTTGTTAGATATTTCAAAATTTATGTTCTTTTTTTAATTGAATTTCATATTAAATAATTTACAATATTAATCAGCCTGACAAAAATTTCTGTGTAATGTCTGATTAGATAGTTGATGGAGTATTTGATCCAAAACTGGCTTTAGCTGTTGCCAAGGATTTATTAAAAAGTGATCCTGAGAAGGTGAAGAAGATAACAGCTGTAGTTGAGCATTGTGGAGATGATAGTAAGAATTATTTTTGTTTAAAAGTTGTTGTATTTATTTATTTAATCAGATTTATTTAATTAAAAAATCTAATATTTCCAGTTCCAAAGAAAATGGAAAATGATTGTGAACTGGCTGGTGAGATCATGAAGTGCTACGTAAAATATGAAAAGGAGGTAATATACATTTCTGTGTTATATAATAAATAATTAGTTTGAAATAAAAAAAAAAAAAAAATGTTCATGTAATATATGTATTAAAAATTACAAACTAATTTTAAAAATTCAGTGAACATTGTAGCAATTCAAACACTTTACACTTGAGTTACAACAAAACCTGTGCTTTTCTTTGTACTACAAAATTAAAATTTATTCGCCATTGAAGCGTTTTTCCTCAAAATATAGGCCATTCAAAATATATAAAACAAATTCAAAATAGATATTTGATCGATAAGAAATTAGAAAAATTTACTTAATATTTGTTTTAAATCATATAGTCCTTTTATTAACTAAACGGGGAAATGGACAGGCTTGTTCGTTCTCTTTTTAAATATTGTTTTTATTCTCACTTTTTTTATGGCTATTAAAAAAAAGAAGATAAATAAAGCATATATTTCAGTCAGTTAAATTTAGGGAACATCATAACACAAAGAAAAAAAAAAGAAATAGAATATAGCTACAGACAACAAAAACACCATATTTTGAAATCACTAACCATTCATTTATTGCTGATATATATAATTATATCAAAACTAACTTAATTTTAATTGTTAATCATGTTATATTTAGTTTAGAAAATAATTTTAGTTGAACTGTTCTAGGTGGGCCTTGCGTAAATTAAAAGATTCAAGAGTACTTAACCACAAATTCCTAATTAATAGCTTGTTATACACCATTAATGTTAAAAGCTTATAGAACTTATTACAGTAAAATATAATATATTTTAAAACTAAGTGTCTCTATAAATTTATTAAATCCTATTTTCTACCCAATTTATAAAATAAGTATAATTTATATTGCAATATTCTGTACTTTCAAGGGGGATAATAACAAATGGCAAGGTGGCAAATGCCATGTGCTTCATTTGATACAACTAAATTCACATCGATTTTGTCATTGAGTAAATGTATGATTAATAAGAAGTCATCTCTAAGTTCTGAATTACTCTAGATTTGGAGCACACTACTTACAGTGCACAGTATTTTAATAAAGAGTCAACGACTAACTTCACCTTCCATATTATCATGTGAAAGTTTATTGGCTATTGGGAGCCTTTTTTTACTTTCACATTCCTATGGATGAAATGTATAGTAAGGAAAAATATCGTGCTCATAAAAAATTTCGAATCCCAAGTTTTCAACGGAAATATCAGTTTTAATGTTCGGTGAATCCAAATAATCAAGTCTCCCAAAATGGTTTGTGTGCATGTGTGTGTGTGTGTGTGTGTGTGTGTGTGTGTGTGTGTGTGTGTGTGTGTGTGTGTGTGTGTGTGTGTGAGTGTGTGAGTGTGGGTTTATGAACAGTCTATCTCAATAATGAAAAGTGATGTCAATAAGAAAAGTATTTAAGATTTTTATATCCTTGGGATGTTACAGCGACGGTTTTTTAAAAATTGTCTAACCAGAAATGCCACTTTATATCGCCGATTTTACACATTTTTACAATTTTCTCAAAAATGGTTACAAAAGTTTTGAATCAATTCATTACAGAAGTGATAAATTAAGCAAGTTTTAATATAATATAGGTCTTATTCTCATTAGTGATCTCTGACAGGGCTTAAATACCTATTTTTAAATGTCTTTTTCTACACTACCTTTAACTATTTCTATTTGAAAACATTAATCATTTTACATTGCAACCTGCTATAAAAAATGGTTAGATACCAAATATGAAAGAATTTGATGGTTAATTAAAAGAGCAATAAGGGATCATAATGGAGAACTGACAAAATCCAAGCACGCACTCAAGTTTGGTCAAAATGATGGAATAAGTTTCCATACATAACATCTGCCTAATAAAATACAGACTCTTATAATATTACATACATATATATGTGCAGTTTCCATAAATCTGCTCATTTATGTGCTCATTATTATTTAATATTTAATTGTATAGATTACAGCAACATAAAAATTAAGATTTGCATGTATACCACTGCTTAAACATCTAAAAATACCTACAATAAAATATAAATAAATATAGCAGCCTTCTTTATCAGTGGCACTAGATTATTTTCTATAATCAAATAAATAATTAAAATGTACAGTTGTAAAAGGAAATGGTTTGTGGCAAAAAATCATAAATGTAATAAATCAGATAGCTGTGAAAAACATATGGTAAGCAATTGTTTTAAATATTTTGTACTTTTGTAATATTTATTTGCACTTCCCTTTATGTGAAAAAAATTATTTCTGCTAAAAAAAAAGGTTGATAATTTCAAGTTCAACCGCACCACATTTTGTTTTTAATAATATAATTTTTATATTATTACTCTTGCCCATGTTATTTAACTTTCACATAATTTTATTTATTTTTCTAATTGTGGATTCAATGTTCCTGTAAAATTATTGTTTTTTGTAGAACACAGTTATACTCACTTCTTGAAATTTCGTGAAACTCTAATTTATTGCAATATTAATTTTAGTATTCAATTGATTTGTTTTTATATTTTATTTGGTTTAGATAATGGATAATATGTCTTTTTAAAACTGCTATATTATAATATTTGTTTGTGTTAATAATATTGTGTTTAGCATTTTATTTATATTTATTTTTGTTAGTTTGTCTGCTCACTAAACTTGTTTGTTCGTATCAGTAAAATGACATGACATTTTGTATAATGGGTAAAAGAGTTCCTATAAAGGCTTGAAATTTTGATTTTGATCTAATATTTCAATAAATTTGTATAATTTAATATATTTTTAGTAGTTTGTTGTATTATTTTATAAGTGTCAAAAAAAAAAAAAAAAAAAAAACGACATTATTACATTATTTACTAATCTTAATGAAAACTGCTAGAAGAATATTTTTATTGCAAATAATTTAAAAGCGTGACACAAAAATCTAATAGACAAATGTAGTTTTTAGTCTCTCATCTAATCTGAATCAAGGAACATTGAAATCTTGAACGAATCAATGCACTAGGGTCGGGTAATCTGAGTGATTGCCGAGGGCACCAAACCGGAGGAGAGCACCCACAACTTGTTAGGAATAAAAATATATTAGGAATAAAAAGTGTAAACAAATAATTAATTTTAATCTATTAATAAAGCAACTGAATCAGAGACATATTGAATGTAATAAAGAAATTTATTTCAAATATTAGGTAATATAAAACAACTTAAAAAATAAATTAATGTTTGTGGAGTGAGATGACATTGCCTGGGGGTGCCAAATGTCTAAGGCCGGCACTGAATCAATGTCATATCTAAACAAGTTTCTACTTGTTTATTTCTTTTGATTTGTACTGTAAAATAAATTGGTATTCATGCTAAATTAACAATAAAAAACGAATATAAAAACTATAGTTATTAAAGTTTACACAATATTTATATTTATTAGCCACTCAATTGAAAAAGTACAAATGTGACCGGTGGTAAATTAACTGAAACTGTTGGAGGTGAGATACTGATAAAGCTTCCTGTTTTAGCCAGCTTTTCAGGCTTGAATGCTGACAAACATTTCATGAAATTATACGCTGTTTCACACTCATCATTTAATTGATTAGCTGAAAAAAATAAAGATTTTTTTTAGATTAGTTTTTAAAATAGATCATAATATTATGTTTTATTTATGTTATTTATTTGTTTCTATCCCTTTATTTAAGTGACTAAGAGAAGAATGGAGGATTGGGCTTCATAACAAAACAAACTAAACAAGTTATTTTAGAAATTGCTGCCTATCAATTGTAATTAAATTTTCAAAATGTAACATTACATTGAGAATTCAAGAATTCAGAAATCTCTGAATAATAAGAGTTCATTGAAAATGTTTTAATCCTAAATTTTATAGTTAATTTAACCCTTAGGCCATGTTGGCCAGGTGTGTTAAGATATTTTCTTAACAACCTTGTACCAGAAGCAGCATTGATTTATATTATGCCAGAGCAAGTTGAATTTTATTTTATTACCAACCCATGGTAAATCTTTACCTCCTTACTCTTGCAAGAATAAATTAATTATTTGTATGATAACCTCTCATTCCTGTTCTAGTTAGAGTACATAAGACTGTTAAATCTAAATAAACAAAGAACAATAAAATTCTAGTGGATTCCTTATTTTAATCAGTTAGATTTATGCATTAAATATTTTTGAAGTACCTGAATGACTGCATCTTTTGATATCCGCAAATCTCATTGCCTGTTCTTGTGAGTTTCTAAGCTCCTTTGCTATTTGTTCGACTTTTCTTGAACTTATCTTTCCACGAGAGTTAATCTAGGTCAGAAAAGAAAACCATTCGAAGATGATTTTTAAAATATTTACAATATTTTTAAAGTGAGAAAGTTGATTCCAAAATATTTTAAATGTTGCTTAACCAAAATTGAGATACTAATTTTACAGACTACTTATTTCTCTCATTTCAATCTTCAAAAATCTACAAATTGAGAAAAAGTATTAGTTTTAGTAAAACTAAAAAGACGTAAAATTCTAACACATCGAATAATATTCTCAACATCAATATTTAACATATTTTTGTGCTGACATTTATAATTGTAAAGCCCTATAATTATACAAGATACCTTTAAAAGGTTTCGTAGCTGAGAATTTTTATTTTTTAGGTTGTTCCAATATGAAATGGGTTTTACAGTTTATTTATACAGAGGTTATTTTTTACCAAGTTCATAAAAAACAACTCAATGGTTAGGTAATGTTACAAGTTGTAATTTATAAGTGTATATGTACTTAAACTTAAAAGTAGTTTTACTAGATTGTTGAATTCAGCATAGTATTTATACTTACAATAGATACAGATTTCATGACACATGCCCCATAGCACTAAAAAAATATAAAAAGGTTTATTTACAATTTTTATTTATAATTAAATCTCTTAACAGTAATTGGATATCATAAATAGCATATCTGAAATTTAAAAAAAATTACCAATATTTTTAAATTTACTTATGCCATTACATATCATATTATATTTCATAAATATATATTTTATATCTTAAAAATAATATAAAACACTATACCTTTCATGTTTACAGCAATTTATAAAAAAAAAAACTGAATTTCTATATAAGCATTAATAATGAGCGAAAGCCATTTAAACCATGAACGACTGCATGTAAGGATATAGACGACACCATTCTCACAATCATAGACTTGATAATGAGGTGATGGAAAAACCACTTCGACGAACTATAGAACATTGAAAAATCGACCTTGTGTCCAAATGGATCCTAACTCTGAAGAAGATCAAGGCAATGAGATTGGATCCTCTGACGAGGATGAATTGTATGATGCCATTGAGAGGTTTAGAAACCATAAGGAACCTGGAATTTATGACACCCGCAGAACTCTTTAAAAAAAGGAGGTGGAAATTTGGATGGCGTAATGGAGGATGCTTGGACGATTCTGGGGGTCAAGGACTGGAGAACTGATGCCTAACAGTGGACAGATTGGCAGAAATCATAGGAGTATGTCAGGGACCAATAATGGTCTTTTGTGCCAATGGAACAAGAGCAATTCGCAAAATTGGTCTTTTTATATATACAATAGAAACACAACACAGTTGAGCAGCATTCCAATTTTATTGTACTTCTCCCTTCTCATTTAAATAAGTTTTATCATACTTTTTTTCTCCTATGTTATTATTGTTTTGATATTCTTGTTTGATTAACAGTAGTCCTCAAAATTTAAGAAGATTAAGTTGGGTACTTTTAGAAAAAAAAAATTATGTTACAATTTATCTTTAAAAGCTTAGAATATTATTTACCTTTTTTTCTAATTGATCACAAACATGAACAAGATTATCTTATATACATTTACAAGCATTCTTGTATTGAATCTCATCTTGGTAAATTATGTGAAATCTGAGTTTAAATAAAAAAATTAAACATTGCTGTTCTTTTAGATTTTGCTGAAAAGTCGACAAAAAAATATACAGAACATAAATATTTAAAAACTATAATTTTTTTTAAACATTGATTTTCATTTACTTCAAGAAACATTAACAATGTTGGTTATGAACTAAAATACTCTTTTAAATGTGAATTAATGAGTCCAAACCAATTCTTTCAAAATGAGTTCTGTTGTTTCAAAATGTAGTTAAAGAGAAATCTTTGGATTTTAAATTGGTATAAAGTAAATTGGTTCTTTGGATTTAGTTATAAAATGTGTTTTTTTAATTATATTTTTTTAAAATAGTAATTAATAACTGTGGGATTCTAAAAGGGAGGGAAACAAGGAGATTTTTAATTCGTGCTCTTTGCAAATCTTCTAGGTGTTGATGCAAAAATCATCTCTAAATATTACATTTCCATTTGAGCAATTAAAGAAATTCAATGGCTTCCGATGTTTTAAGTAAAAGTTGTAGATCAGGACAAAATATAATGGATAATTAAAAATATTGAAATCTTAACAAAAAAGTTTAAAAAGTTATTTATTGATCATTGCTGATATAATTCATTGGTGTTTTAAATAGTTAAAAAGGTTTTTAATAAAATAAATTTATAATTTATATTATCAAAACTAAATATATTATAGTAATTTATATTTTATATAATCATAAAAATATATAATTATAATGATAATAATTATATTTTAAAATAAATAAATAACTAATAAATAAAATATTCTCTATGGCTAACAAGTTAAGGAAGCTCTTATATAAAAGAATTCAACTTTTTTTTCTTTCGTTTTTTTTTTAATTGTCCAATTTTAAAATAAAATCCTTTATTTAGATTGCAATATAACATTTATATATTATACATGTTTTAATAACTTCTGTTTTAAAATACCTTTCCTTCCTTTGTTTGAGGAAGCCTGAAGTGTCGATAGTTATTGACTTCACCTGTAACAATAGTACATTTTGCAATTCATTTATAATTATATATATAACATTTAATATTATTGAAATTTTTAATTTAACATTTGATTTTCTTTAAAACCAAGTTATTAATTCAAAAGAAAGTGATAAAATTCTTGAAAAAGGGATCCATATAATAGCAACATACATTTGAGTTGCTAAACCTGAACACAATCGCATTATAGATAGATACAGCACCTTGAAAATTAATGTTTTATGCACAGAAACATATACGTATGTTTGCACGGTAACCGTAGAGCTTTTACGATCAGTGAAAATGGTTGAATTAGGTGCTTACATGTTAAAAAAATTGAACCATTTTAAATATCTTGGATACATTATGGGCTCTAATCATTTTTTTTTTTTTATGAATGTACATAAAATACATTGGACACATATCCAGGTTTTCATTCCAATTGGCTATGGGAGACAGAAAAAAAAAATTAGGAATAGTTTTTTTCCATAATTTTATAATCCTATTATTCTCCATTTACAGAAAATATGTACACATTTTTTTTTCTAAAGATACTTAAATGAGCTAAAGGCACTGATAAGTCCTTAAAAGATTATTTTTCCATTTGTTCCACAGTCTTGGTGCCTTGATTTGTTGTTTATTGGCATATATTTATGCATTGGCATTATTTATGCAACTGGATAAAATATTTTAAAAAAACAAACAGAATTTGACAGTGAATTACTCATTTGTAATAATAACGATGTTTTAATAAGTAAGATTAAAATATGGGCATACTATTGATAGTGTTAAATTATAAAATATATGTGAGGTTGATGGTTGCTTATAAAATTGTCATTAGATAAAAAACGTTTTGGAGATGGACAGAGGGTCTGACACATGGACTGTGAGATGAAGAAGTGGTATAAAAAGGATTAATAAATCTTAGATTCCTATTAAAAATGAACTATATATGTATATTAACATTAGTTTGAATTTGGAAATTTATTCAGCTAGATTGTATACAACTCAGCAGGCTATTAGAAGAAATAATAAAACAACTTAATGGAAGAATATATTATGTGACAAAAATTTTAATCTTGGAAAAACTGAATTTAATGATATTTTATTTATATTTTAGAAGGAAAAACTCAATTTTTAACTACTGAAAACTACCAAATTTCAAGATTTAGAAGAAATAAAAAAGGTTCTAAGGTGGAAATGGGTATTTAGAATATTCTTCTAAGCAAAATGCTTTATTTTTCCTAAAAAGGCAAAGAAAATATTCTTTCATTCAGCTCTTCGATTGGCTAGAGAGGTGTGAGGCCTGAGGAAGTACAGCACTTATTGGTGCCTATCTTGAACTATAAAAGAAATATGTTCAAGGACATCTTTTAGCCAAATAATTTTAGTTAGTTTTAGGATACTTCATGGGTATGTGTATCATGAAATATACCAGACAAAATATACCAGAGCGATTTGTTTTATTAAGATAATTTTTGATAGGCGGATTTGTAATTACAAGGTATATTTTATTTAATTTCCAAATGTTAAATCAGACTTTGCAAACTTTGAAGAGATTTGATTAAAATTCTAGGTCTAAATTTTTACTCAGATTTCACTTTTAAATTACTTATTTGAGTTCTACCAATGGGTAGTTTCTCTTCATGTTTTACATGTCATGTTAACAATGTCACATTTACTTATTGTATTTTCTATGTAATACAGTTGTAAATTTCATTAAAATAAATAAAATAAAATAAATTACTTATTTGAGATATTATTTCTAACTCCATTTTGATCATTACATTTGTTATCTGTTATTGTGATTAATTTTATTAAATTGGTGTGTTTAAACAATCTTTGAAGAAGTATATATATATGTACTAAGGGTTTCTTAAACAAATTATAGCCATTGCATGGATGGGGCCTTAGGGGTGGGTATACCGGTTGAGGTACTGATCTGCTAAAGTGAGAATAGACTACTGGGGAATTTGGAAGGAGATGACCAGGTGAATTCTTGTCCAGGATGCCTAAAACCCAAGTAACTAAAGCAAATGAAATGGATTATAAAAAATCAAATATTTTTTAACATGATTACTTTGTGTCATCTTTGAATATGGAAGATTTAAAGATATATATGCAAATAGATAAATCTGTTAAACCTTGTTTCTTTCATGATAATATAAAATTAAGTACCCCTACTCACCTAAATAAATGTTGAAAATAATAATATAGACTTTTGCTTACTTTCTATAACATTAGTTTCAATTTCACAGTTTTTTTCATCAATTTCAGCCTTTAACTGGAATAAAAAAAAAAAACCGATATTGTTAGAAAAATTAATTTTTAAAACTACTGAAAAATACAACATACTTTACAAAACTGAAATTTAATTTTCAAATATTTAATTTTATTATAAATCATCGAAACTGATGAATTCAATGACATAGTTTCACAATTTAATTCACTGAAACATAAAATGCAGCAGAACTATGAGGATTTCAAATAATATTATGATTAAGGTTTAATTTATGTCTCATTTTGAGTTTTTTTATCTTTTATATTGATAATATTAGGAAGTTATTTAATTGATTTAAAACCTATTTTTTTATAATAAATGTTGTCGATTTAAAAAATAAAGTTTGTAGTACTTTTTTATTATGTTAATATAGGTTTAAATTAATAATTATCTGAATGTATTTTGTTTTTTAAGAGAACGAAGATTTGTAGAATAAAGAGTGAACTAAACTAACATAATTTAATATTTTTTTCAGATCTGGAGTATAATGCCTATGAATAATAATAATGTTCTCACCTTTGAAATAGACACAACTAAGAGAACTATGAGATGAGTTTTCTTCATTGTTGGCATGGTAAATTATATCCCTGATTTCTAGCAATGTGAATGGATTTAGAACTGATTTGTATATATACAGATATATGGATTACATCCTGTCCTGATTACTGGAATAATTACATTAAAGCATTGTAACACTCAAGGTAAAATCTATTTACTATTGATGTACTTTTTTCCTTCTGATTTTTAGGGCATTGATACATTTCAAAGGATTTTTAGGACATTACTGAATTTATAAAAAGGAAAAGTTATTGGAAGAGGAACTTTTATTAATGATTCAACGTAAGATTTTGATTCACATAATTAGTTTGTGACCTTTGTTAACTATTTGTTATATTTATATCTTGTTATTAAGGTAATAGGTGGAGTAAACAAGATCTGTATTTGCAAATTTTTTTTGTTTTTCTTTCATTTGTATTTTGAGGTAAAATTTGAACACGTATTTATTCCAATTCTTAAAAAAAGTTTTGTTAAATGAAAAATAAATAGTAATTGAACTTAGATTAGAGTTATAATTTGTCTTAAATTAATTACACATGGTTCTAATGTGTCGTTTATTTCAGTAGCTATGAAAAAGTCATTTTTCATATCGAACTTTTAAATAATAGTTTTCTAAAAATAAAAGTACTGCAAAAACTTTACTTGAAAAGTTACTATGGAAAAAGTTCTAGTTCCAAAAGAACTGAAAAACTATCGACAATAAATATTCCGATGATACAGAAACTTTTTAAAATTAAAAGTTTTTTTTCTATTTCCAGTCCTGACTAAAACTATAAAAAATTTACAATGATCTCCTGATAAAATTATTCTGTTGTGTTATTAAAGTTTAAACATTTGCCATTTCCTTAAATTCTCTATTTCGTTTCTGAATTGCCCTCCATAATTACTTTTTGACTTATAAATATCATTTTGTGAAACGTTTTTAAAAATTATTGTATTAGAAATTAAGTTAACTGGATGAAAATTTTCATATGTTTTCAAATCATTTCATTTATTATGTAACATTATCTCTTTCTATATAGTAATTGTTTCATTACTTTTTTACAAATATAAATACATAGTAAAGAAAGGTCAAGTACATAAATTTATATATAAGTGTATAATATGTAATTGAATTTATAAATACAAGGTGGATTCATCTTTACCCTCTGAAGTAGGGCATATACCTTTTGGCATATTTATTAAATAAATAAATATATTTTAATAAATCTAAAGATTATATGAAGTGTTGACCATTCGAAGTTTGTTGTTTTTATAATATTAGCTATATATAAAATAAAATGACAATTTCTTTATAATTTTTTATTACATGATTATTATTGCTGATATTATAGTTATAGCCAGTGAAGTGAATAGTTAATATTTGTGATGTTTGAATAGGTTAGACGTTACTGACAATGGTATAGATAATTTAATTTTCATTCAATTTTTTTTTTTTATATTGTATTAATTACAGCTTTTCATATATATTTTTAATTTTTGAGAATGTTTAAGTGAAATGATCCAAGCTCATATCATATAGTTAAAAACAGAAAAAATACACCCATATAAAATTTATAATGCAAAGAGGGGATATGATGAAGTATTGCCTTGAAGCTGTCACAGAACTAGCTAGACATCTGCACTACCAAGATGAAGCATACCCTGAGTATAGGTTTGGTATCTATATTCCTACTATTAGCTGAAGAGGTAAATGACATCTTATACCATTTACATGAAATATGCACGCTTAGTTGAAATGTATTCTATAAAGAAAAAAAATTATATAATAATTCTTACCAATCAAGATTAAACATTTTTTTATAATTCAAAAGATTTTATTGTTAATTGATTTTAAGTGCATGATTTATACATGAATAGAATTTGTTGTACATAATTACAATACACATACAGTGTTGTTTTTCTAGGTATATTTAGCTGATGAAGCTAAAATGTATTTTTCAGGTGTAACAAAGGTATTAGATTGTATGAGACGGCTCCTTACAATGAAGGAATTACTTCATTTTTGTCTACCTCCATTTTAGAAAAGTTTATTATGTGTCCTTAATAAATTTTTATAAAAATATGAAAAGAGAACAAATATGATAAAAAATATATTTTTATAAAAAGAGAAGAAACCGATTTATCATTAATTTATTCTATCACTGACATATTTATTTCAGTTTTTTTTTTGGATCTGTTTTTTGAAAAATTTCAGAATTTAAAATTATCCCTTTGTTTTATTAGCCACCTCATATGAGCATATACAAGTTATAAAAACTGAACCAATTAATATTTTCAAAATATTAATTAGTATGGATAGAGAAACAAAGGAGATTGCTTTTTCATAAAAACTAAGAAGTCAAATTCCATTTAATAAAATCCTGTACAAAGTTCTCAAGTCAGTTAACTAGGCTACAATTCATTCCTTCTTTTTCCAAAAAAAAAAAAAAAAATAATAATAATAAATAAAAAAAATAAAAACTTATTCTTAATTCTAAAACTATATGGTGGTTTAAAATTATTTGAATTAATTTTAAATGTAATGGTTTTAAGTAAATTTAAGGGATTAATGGGTTTCATTTTAGTATTAAATTTAATAAAATTGTATCAAGTTTTCATAGCTAAAATTTATAGCTCATTTTATTAGCTACAATTATAATAATCAATCATCTAATATTTTCAAAGTTTCACTGGAAACGTTAATATTCAATCTCTGCCTGACTATTTATTTGTTTCTAGTACTCTGAAATGGTTATTCTCACTATGTTTAGAACCAAATGGTAAACTCTTTCTTACTAAGATTGTTACACTCAAATCTTAAGAAACTTCGAGACTTTATTTTATGCTACAAAGGGATAAATAAATCAGTAAGCAGCTACATATGGTTCTGGATAAAAAAGAGTCCTGAAGAGAGGTACCGAGGCCATGAAGTCTTACTATTTAAAAAATTGTGAATCACTGTTTATTAAATAGCTTGCCTTTCATGATGCAAGGCAGTTTTCATTTGAGAACTATAAAATGATAATCTCATGAGATACATCACACAACTTCATGCATTACAATTCTTTCATATTTCATATTTATCAATTTTGTCTTAAATTTATAATGAGAGACCTTTAATTATTGTTATTATTTTTTTTGTTTTCATAGCCCCTTTTTTATTTATCTTTGTCTTGAATCCTTGGATTTTTGTTGTCTTCTTAATAGTCCTTTTAGTGCTAAAAAGCATTGTAAAGTGTATTTTATTTTTTTTGTCGTGTCTGAGTATTTTTTTCTATATCTGTAACATAATCAATGATGGGGATCATCTCAGGCTTTATCCTCTAGAGCTGAAAACTAAATTAAAACACCTATCCTAGTTAAGTTTTTGCCAAAGTTTTGGAATTCTGGTTGGTAATAAGTTGTCAAAAAGAGGGTTTGCCAATTGTTGAAACTTTTTGAAAAATGTTTCGTTTTGTGAGAAATTCTTTTACTGTTAATAAATTTAGTGCTGATTGTATATCCAATGCTTTCATTCTCTGCATCCTGGTTCCTCTTACTATTTTTCTGATTATTCCATTTTGAAAATATTGTAACCTTTTCCCAGTTTGCTTCGCTGACATATTCAAACAAAGGTGCACCATTCAACAGAGCTTTTATGTTTGTATAGATGAGGAGCTTTGACCTTTAATTATTTCTTAAATTTTTTATTTATTTTCAAAAAATCATCATAAGACCTTTCATTTCAATGAATATAAGTAATTTTATATTGAATTTAATCAAAATTGTTAAAAAGTTTTCAAAGCAATTGTAAAAATGTGTAAAACAAATGTATTAAAATGGTACTTTAGCGTAACATTATAATTATATGCTTAATTTAATACTGAATTTTGGCGTACTAAACACTCCATCACACAAACTTTTTTTGTGGGACTTGGTCGTTTCAGCTCTAGCGAATTTCGAACATGTATTAACGCTTAAACTCAGATTCCAAATTTTTATGATCGCAGTATTTTCCCTTACTATGCATTAGATATATGGGCATGTGAAAGTAAAATTAATATAACTAGTTTAAGAAAGTTTCCAAAGATTACAAACCAGTTTTCAATGATGTCCTTGGCTTCTGTTAAAGGAAGGTCTGGGAAATCACAAATAAGATACCCTGGAGTCAGTTATTAAATGAGGATTAGTGTTTTTAGAAGAATTCTATGATATCATTTCAAGGTAGACATGATGTAATTTAGTAGCGATAATATAATAGTAACTTAACTTACACCTTCCTCTATGACAATTTTTTAACTGCATTTAGAAATAATTTAAATAAAATCACAGGTAAAGTTTTTTTTTATTAAACCATATTTTTTTTTATTTTCATTAAATGTTAAATTATTTATAACCAACAGATATGCGGAGGAAGCTATATTGACTCTACTTTGCAGACATTTTACCCTTTCTAAAAGTTGGGTCTAGCGGAAAACTGGCCATTTAACAATCAACAATTTAATATTTAATGAATTATAATTTTATTATTTTTTTAAGTTCTAAAATACTTAGTATTTTAAGTATTAAAATATACTTTTATTCACGAACATTATACAAAAACGAATTCAATTGGTCTTCATTTTACTTTCACTTACCTATGAAATAGAAGAAAAAAAAAGAAAAGCTTTTATTAAAATATAAATTTAAAACATAAAATGATTTATACGGTTACGAATGCCTCATCCTTCCGAAAAAATAAAACAAAAAATGGTTGATTAATTTTAAAAACATATTAACACGTTTAGTAAGATATATACAACTAACTTAATTTTAATATGAGAAGTGTATAGTTAAGAGAAAGTATACTTTTTTTATGTTAATATACATAAAAACCTGTAAACCTGGAGAATATGAGTTTTTATTTTTACTAAATAAATTTTAATTTTAAACTTTTTAACGTACAAAAATAAAAATCTTTTCTATATTTCTGCAGATGATAAATACCGTCTATTTGATATTTAATAATTTAAATCTATTTCAGCTACAACTAAACTGATTGAATGTTATGACAATATGTTTTCCCGCTGGTAGTTATGCAGTGCTTAAAATATTGAGTTCTGTACAAATTGTCTCATGATCAATAAATAAAAATAAAATAGTTTTAAACCATTACAAAATGGTGATCGATGCATTATATATTTTAGGTTTCAAACCAAGAAATAATTGTAAACGTTTTCATTTAGTTTGGGAATTTCCATGAAAACATTTAGTTTACGTTAAATTACATAAGTTTGAAAAAAAGATTGGATATATGAATTTCATCATCCTTCATTACCATCTACAACTTTGTTTGCAAGATATTATTTTTCTAATTTCCATTTTTCTGATTCCATTTCTAAATTCCATTTATATTATAAATATGTATTGCTACCCTTATTTCCGGAAATTTGATTTCAACTTAGAAAAAAAATTCTCCTTTTGTTAATCAATAAATTCTTCCATAATTTATTTTTATTAATACTAACAAGACAAGAGGGTTAATTATTTTAAATAGAAAAAATTAGATATTTTAGAGGTATTTTATCTTAATCACTCTTAAGATTCCGTGATTGTATTCCTCTAAAATCCAGATAGCTCTTTGTAACCTCCCTTATATTCTTTCGACTACGGCAGTTTGGTTTATGGAGAGCGATCTGCCACGTTAGAAATGAGACTGAAGAACCTCATGAACTGTTTCATAAGATACATCTTCGGTATTCCCAGGCGTTCACATTTTTCATTCTGGTACATCGAGTTGAAGTGGCTTTATCCTACTTCCCGACGACAATTCCTCCTTGGTGTTTCCCTTTTCAAAGTCCTCAGAACAAAAAAACATCCTGGAACTCCTTACTCTATGTTCCTCTATCCACTCTCTTAATACCAGGTCTCAACCAATAGATTTATATATCCCGTCTCATAAAACTACTTCCTTCAGCAAATCCTTCGTAATTCGTGCTACTTTCTTTTGGAACTCTCTTCCTACCTCCATTTGTCAATCCTCGTCCTCAAATTCCTTCAAACAACTTCTGTTCCACCACCTACTCCACATTCAAACTTCCGCCAACATGTAAAATTACTTGCATCTGTATATTGTTTAATTTCAATCTACTGCACAATTGCAATAACAATCAGTAGTTAATTAATTTATATTTTTCATTATTCTAAGCCAGACTAAGATCCCTAAATTTGTAACTGTTATTAATCTTAGGGGACTGTACTCCCAGAATAAAATTATTTTTTCATTTCATTTCAAGCCATTTCACTTCTCAATTTATTATGGAAAAAATAGCTTTTTATCTAAGAAAACAAAAAAGATGAAATTTCCTTCCACAGAAAAGAAGAGAACAAACGATTTTATTTTGGTTGCACATTTTTGCAGCTATTGATATTTTTATTTCATGTTTCACGCATATTTTTGTACAATAGGAAATCCAAATTTTAGCCTTATGGATGTTATAGGCACGGAGCAGTAATATAGGACACGAGCACGACTCCTATGGTGGTAATAATTTCAATTATGATTCAGAAGATGAAGCAGCTTACTCCTATCTGGGAAAGGATAGTGTAGTGAAGTTTTCAGTAAGTTGCATTATTTTTATTTTAATGAATGTTGTAGATTAAATTTCGAGTTGTATTATTATTCATTAATAATGTTCTATTTAATTTGCAGTCCAATTAAAAAAGGGAAATGTTGAACATCATACTAATTTAAAAAAAATATTGCTTGAATAATTCGAGACAAAATAGGATTTTATGATAAGTGAAACGTACTTAACAATTAAAAAAAACAGGATAATGTTGTATCTGATTATGACAAAATGAGCAGTTAGACGTTTAGGAGGCAATGGAACCATATGCTTCTTTGAAATCGATATAAATCTTATGAATACGATTTTCTCTAATATTTGTCATATTTAATATTTGATCAATGGCTGAACTGTTCCATCTAAAAGCACATTGGTAGTATCCGATAATTTTTTCAATGTACTCCGTAGTTAAGATTAATAATATTTTATTAAAATAATCATAAATTGATAAAAACTAAACTAATCTATAAAATCAATAAAGTTAAAGTGATCATTAGGCGGTACGATTGATAAAATATAATGAGATGGTAAAACAGATTGATAAAAATCAAAGGGTGTTAGGTTTTATAATTATATCATGGAAATATATATTATATTGTATTATAGAAGAATGGAAATTATGTAGATAATTATATACTAGGTATATAGTAAGAAGAAAATAGGCAGGTTACGTAATATAGTATGGTAATAGTATAATACATATTATAGTTGTAGTTGGAGAGAGCAGGGTGGCCGAGCAGGTTAACGCGTTTGTAAAACACGCGTTGTCAAACAACCTAATAAACCGAAGATTACGAGTTTTAATCCCAATGCCAGAAAACTTTAAACTCTGGCATTAATTCCCCCTCCTCTCTCTTTGCTCGAGAAAAACCCGGTATAGCAGAAAATGTGAGAAAAAAAAAAAAAGAAATCAGTTCGTCAGAATTCAGTGCTAAACAAAATCTCCTTCTACTTAATCTAGAGTACTTAAGATCAATATCCTTATAATAATTGTTCTTAAAAAGGTTATGTCATATTTTTCGTTAAAAAATTCTTTTCCTCAATCTTGCATCAGTATATTGGTTTATAATAATTACTTGAGACACATATCCATTGTAATAGATTCAAATCTAAAGTTATTATTAACAATATTGTGTGTATTTTTTGAAATAAAATTGTACGCTTTTCCAACGGATATGTTTTCAGCAATAGAATTAACCATAATTTGGATTGAATTACTTCTCTATTATTTGATGATTTTTTTTTCCTTTTCTATTTTGCAGCCTCAAGAAGAGAGCATAGCAAAAATATTAAAAGCTTTTGGATCCTGCCAAGCAAAACACCCCCTCAGTACTGGTAACGGAAAAATAATGACAAACTAATTATTTAAATCCAAGTAGTGGTAGTTAATTAATGATTAGTTTCAAATCCAGGATTTGTATGTATATATATATACCCATACATTTACTGTCAGTGTCAAGAGTAATCGTATAGCAGTTAAGGAACATATAAGATAAAATACATTATTATTATTAGCATGAGGTGACTGGGGTGGGAGTTACTATCCATTTACATTTTGGAGGTACATTGTGGAGGATGTAGATATTAATTTTTCAAGCTATCAATGTTTCGGGTCATTGACTTGCTCAAAAATATAATTTTCTCTATTCACAAAATTTTAGTTATTGATTGGGAGATCCCTTCTTAAAATATCCATCTGATCTATTATCTGATCTATTATACCGTCTATAAATTTAAACAATCATCCTCCATCAGCCTTGATACCTCCCCTAATCATTGTATTAACCAATAATGTCTTTAAGGTTAAAATGCAAGTCTGTTTAATATTTTTTTTTAGTAATAATCGTCACTCATACATATGCGTACCATTATTTTCTTTCTACTTCAGTCTTTCACTTGATTTATGCTCCATTTTAGCTATGTACGACACAATAAGAATAATAAGTACATCTACATGGCCTAAATATTATAACATAACTTGTAATATAAATTTATTAAAGTAACAGAATAAGTTTAAAATTATAAAAATAAGATATAGGAATACTTATGACTGGTAGTAAACATTGATTATTTTAAATATTTTTTTTTATAAGGCAATGTTATACGGTTTATATGATCAGAAATATATTTTACATTACGTTTTTGATGTTGGTATTAAATGGTTTTATTATTTTAAAGTAGTCTCCTTCCAATAATATTTTTAATTTTTTATATTTTAAAACACACTGTCATCACCACATATGCTGATGACACATGTATCCTATCAGTCAATAACGACCCATCTATTGCATCCCAAACCCTTCAATCCCACATCACAAACCTTGAAGAATGGTGTCAGAAATGGAGAATTAAAATAAATTCCAATAAATCCCATCAAATTACCTTCACCCTTCGTCGTAAACCAATGACTTCCTGTCCTTCAGTATCCTTTAACAACACCTCACTTATTCCTGTTGAACAAATCCGTTACCTAGGACTCCATCTGGACAAACGTCTAACTTGGAATCCTCATACCAGACTGAAACGACAAGAAACCGCTCGACGTTTCCGACTACTTCAACACTTACTAGACAAACGCTCTAATCCTTCCAATCAATTATAAAAGACTGATTTACATGACTATAATAAGGCCTATTTGGACTTACGGGGTTGAGCTATGGGGCTCCACCAAGCCTTCAAATTCCTCTCGCATACAGTCCTTGCAATCCAAAATCCTTCGTAAAATCCTCAATGCTCCTTACTTTGTTACAAATAAAATTATCCATAATGACCTTAATGTTCCTTATGTATCAGATTTGGCCCAATCCAGATATCTGTCCTTCCATAATAAACTTCATAACCATCCCAACCCTCTTGTCTCTAACCTTGCTTCCTATTCGATTCCTGATAACCCTCCGAGGCGTCTGAAAAGAAGATGGCCACGTGATCTTCTAATATAGACATATTATTAGAGTGCTACCAATGGGTAGTTTCTCAACATGTGTTCCATGTCTTTATACCAATGTGCAAATTTACTAGATGTATTTTTTTTTGTATACAGTTGTAAATATCATTTAAAATAAATAAATAAAAATAAAAATATTTTAAAACTGGCGTACAAATTCTTTTGACCCTAACTGTAGATGCAGATAAGATAGATATTGATTTATATAGGTACCTTACTTATATAAGTACCTTACTTATCATTAATTTATTATTCTGTATTTTCAAAAACAATTTAAATATATTTTTTGAACACTGTATTTTATAAATTTAGATGAGCTTGCAGCTTTGAAAAAGCAAGATACTGACATGGAATATTCTCATGATGCGAAAGTTAGTACTCATTTTATTTTGCTGAATTATAATACTTTTATTAAAATAAGTTGATCTAATTTCATTGTAATTTGTTATTATTATTTCATTTATTTACTGATTTTTTGTTTTTGTTTTAGTGTTTTTTCGCTTGCATGTTTAAAGCAACAGATTTGGTATGTATTTTATAAATTATGCTTCAGACATTATATTTTTTTAACTCATGTTTTGTAAAATAATCCTACATAATATTATATAAGTAACATAATTAAACTTTCATCATCTAAGACAAGCGTCTATCTCATAGGAAACCTTTTTTATCACCAGTGTCCGCAGTAAATTACTTATTTTTATTAATATGTAAATATACACCCACTGTATTGAATTTAATTCCCTTAATTTTAAAATTTTCGTTATGCACGTAATTAGTAAATTAGACTATAAATGCCTTCTCACTATTGGAAAATGAGAGGGGTGTTTCTCACATCTTCCCACCATTTGGATACTTTTCTTCTCTCCCTACTCCTGGAATTTCCTTAGTTTACAAGGTATCTGTAATAGTCTGTGGGCCAGACCCCCCTACCGTGCACACCACATCCCTATAAATTGCATATCGTTGTGTTCCTTGTAACAATTTATTAAAAAAAAGCCAATGTTCCCACAGAAAAAAAAGTGAACGAACTGCCACAAAATGGCGTCCAAACAGGGCGGACTGACTTTAGTTAGTTTTTTGGTCACCGAGAATCAGCATCTGGCTTAATTTCATTATAGTTGGTCTTTTATTAAAGCTGGATAGTCAGAAAATAGAAAAATATTAAAAAATAATTGGTTTAGGCAATAAAAAACACCAGTAAAGTAAATCTTTTCGAAAAAAAAAGTTTCTAGTGGAAAATCAAGTGTCGTTTGTAGTTAAACGGCCAACAATAACGCAAAACGTGCTGAAATAACACATCAGGGAAATATATTTCTCTTTCTAAATCACTGATTACTTTTTAAAATATTTGAAACAGTTCCGTAGAAAATGCTCTTAAGCGGCAAAAAAGCGGGACTGGCGTGGGTGCCTACAGGCCTCTACCACACCATTCAGTACTCATAAATGGCTTTGTTATAGTTCTTCTTGTTTTGGTATATTACGTTGATTGTATTTACGAACAAATATTAATGCAATAAATTAATTGTCAAAAATTGTTTTAAAAAATTGAATTTTGTTTTTTTTAAATATTTTTTATTTATTTTTTTAAATATAATTTCCTTAATATGGAGGTCGTTTAAGAAGGCCTCTATTGTAATAATGATATAATTATAATAATAAAACTTAATTCAAAAATACTTTGCTGAATATCTTGAATTTTTTATTTAACGTTTACAATTTAACACTTTGTTTTGTATTTTTACGGATTCTTAGAAATAATTTAAATTGTATATACTTCTCCGGAAATGAGTCATATTAATACCTGTTTTATAAACTAAAATAATTTTTATTTCCTTTAGTTTGTTCGGAAGTTGCGTTATTCTTTCTTCACAAAGAAAGATAGAAAGGGCGAAGCTATAAGTTCTTCAACCATAACTGATTGTTAGTATTTAGTCTCAAAGTGAGTGAAAACGCGAAATTGAGTTTTTTCGTGCGAATAAAGGAAATTATATTTAAAAAAAAAATAAAAAATAAAAAAAATTTTTTTTGACAATTAATTTATTGCATTAATATTTGTTCGTAAATACAATCAACGTAATGTACCAAAACAAGAAGAACTATAACAAAGCCATTTATGAGTGGTGTGGTAGAGGCCTGTAGGCACCCACGCCAGTACCGCTTTTTTGCCGCTTAAGTGCATTTTCTACGGAGCTGCTTCAAATATTTTAAAAAGTAATCAGTGATTTAGAAAGAGAAATATATTTCCCAGATGTGTTATTTCAGCACGTTTTGCGTTATTGTTGGCCGTTTAATTACAAACGACGCTTGATTTTCAACTAGAAACTTTTTTTTCGAAAAGATTGACTTTACTGTTGTTTTTTATTGCCTAAGCCAATTATTTTTTAATATTTTTTCATGTTTTTATATTTTCTGACTATCCAGCTTTAATAAAAGACCAACTATAATGAAATTAAGCCAAATGCTGATTCTCGGTGACCAAAAAACTAACTAAATTCAAAGTCGTCAGTCCGCCATGTTTGGACGCCATTTTGGGGCAGTTCGTTCACTTTTTTTTCTTTGGGAACATTAGCTTTTTTTTAATAAATTGTTACAAGGAACACAACGATATGCAATTTATTTGGATGTGGGGGAGGGGGAGGGGTGCACGGTAGGGGGGTCTGGCCCACTGTGTATAAGCCTTAGACATTCAGCGTCCCTGGACAATGGCTTCAATAAAAAAATTAAATTTATTAATTGTTTTATATATTCTCTAATATTTTCATTTTATTTCATTCTACATTTCTCTATTACATTGGAGTGACTATGGTTTCCTACTTATACCCAGTATGTATATATTTCAATAGATCGGTTCTGCTCTTGAATCGATCAAAATATATGAACAGACTGTATAAACATATTGAACAGACTGTATGCCGTTTCTGGATTCCTCCTCCCTCATGTCAGGCGCGAGAGTCAGAAATGTAGTTAAGTAATAACTTTGTAATTTTATATTAAATTAAAGTGTTTTTTATTGTTTTAATTTTATTATAATTTTTAAACCATTTAATTTCCAGTTGAAAGATGGAAGATTTGTGACTGAAAATCTGGCTGAATATTTTGATGAAGATTCAAGCGGTATAATTAATTCCAGGGAGATCATTGAATACTGTAATAAACAAGGTAACTAAAAATTGATATGGACATAACAAATTATTGTATTATTATTCAGAAAGTTTCGAATATATATATTTTGTTCTAGTTCCTGAAAGTGAACCTGATCTATGCGAATATGTATACAAAATGACTAAATGTTGGACCAAGAAGATACTTAATTCCTAAATCCATTTTATAAGAATCAATTTATTAAAATATATGAAAATTATATATATTCACAAATAAACAATTGAAAGAAATTGTTTATTAAACATGTAATCATCAGCAAACTTTGAACAGAAGTATACTCACAAACAGAAAATATAGAGAAAATATTTTTTTGAATACTTCTCAATAAATATTATAAAGTTATATAATGTGCTGTCTGTTTATTCATTAAAAAATTGATGAAATGTGTTATGAAAGATTATAAAAATAAAAATATTTCCAACACTTTTTTGCAAAATAATCCCTGTTTTGATCCTCATCTGAATGGTCTAATATATATATTTTTAAATTATGACAGATTCATTTTAACTACTAAAACATAAACATTTGTAATTCATGTTGAAATCTATCACTGAAATGAATATCCTTCTTTTAGCTCTGGCTCCTGGATTAATATGAAATACCTGTCCCAGCAAAGTTACAATTTATATGGCATAGTTAGTGTGGTATATTAATGTTCCTTAATCAGGATGTGTTCCTTCATCCTGTACTCAGCCCTTTTGTGATATGGGGCTTAGGTTTTTTACACAAGGGAGGCAAAAAGTAAATTGTTTCTTCCAATGGTAATAATAATATGTTAGAAATTACTTCCATTTACGAAATATTTTTTAAAAAATCAAAAATGGTTTCCTGGAAATAAGAATATGAGATTTTAGAAAAAAAAATATTTCCATCTCATTTTCGTATGAAGAACAGATGGGAAGTAATTCAGTTGTTTAGTTAATGCTAATTTACATATTACTATGTAATTATAACCGAAATGATAAATTTCTTCCTAGTATTATTTATTATAAACTTTTTTTTTTTTTAAATCTATTTATTGAATAATAATACAATCAGCCACTGCTGGAGGGCTATAAGCATTAGGGCTAAAAGTTCTCATTCATACAATATATACAAATAATAAAGAAATAAATATAAATATAAGAAGTAAATAAATAATACTGATGAAGAAGGTAAATAAAAATAAAAAATAAAAATAAACAAATAAAATAAAATAAAAACTTCTAAACACAATCATAACTATATACAATATATACATTTGCCCAAGAATCTCCGAGCCAGGCTTTTCCCTCCACACGCGGAAGGCAAAGCAAGACTCCGGAAGATCCCAGTGCCACTTTTCCAGCCGCATCACTAGTATTAGAAGCCAGTGGAGACTGAAAGAGGGCACTACAGCCACAGACGCTCAGGACATGAGTGGAGAAGCTGGCCATTGCCAGGACTCCAAAGGCATATTTACAAAAGATCTCGAGGCCACTGCCGTTTCAACCTTCGAGGGGATGGTATGGATGCTCGGAGCTGGATAGGGATTGCGCTAGAGGATTGGGATGATGAATGAGGTTCTGGTGAAAGTTGGAGAATCTGGATGGGATGATGTCATGGACATATGGGATGTTAAGGTCATGGTGTAGGGTCTTGTTCGTGACATAATATGGAGCATTGACTATTGTTCGAAGGACTTTGGACTGGAAGGATTGGATGCGTTTGATATTCGATGATTTAGTTGTCCCCCACAGTTCAAGTCCGTAGGTCCAGATAGGTTTCAGTATGGTCTTGTAGATTAATAATTTGTTTTCTGTTGAGAGATGAGATGTTCTGTTTAGTAGTCTATATAGCTGACCAAATCGTCGGTTAAGCTCTTGTCTTTTAAGTCTCGTATGTGGGTTCCAAGTCAGTCTTTTGTCCAGAAGGAAGCCAAGGTATCGGACTGTGTCTGAGTAGGGAAGAGGAATTGAATTAAAAAGGATTGGCGGACAGGATCTGCGTCGAAGAGTGAAAGTTACATGTTTGCATTTTGATTCATTAATTTTGATGCGCCAGTTGTTGCACCACTGCTCAATGAAGGAGAGGTGTCTTTGCAGGTTCCGGGACGCTATTAGAGGATCCGAGTGGGAGGATAGGATGGCAGTATCATCAGCAAATGTTGCTAGGAAGGTATCAGGACTTGAAGGGATGTCAGCGGTGAAAAGGATATAGAGAACTGGGCCCAAGACACTGCCTTGTGGAACACCAGCCTCAATTGGATAATGTTTGGAGAGTTCAGTGCCGCAGCGGACTTGAAAGGAGCGATTTGAAAGGTAAGATTTGAGGACTAGGTACAAGGGTTGAGGTAAATGGGTTTTGAGCTTGAAAAGCAAGCCATCGTGCCACACCCGGTCGAAAGCTTGAGCTACGTCCAGAAAGGCACCAGTGCAATATTGCTTGTTTTCAAGTGCAGAGGATATGTGGTCCACAACGCGAAGGCCTTGTTGGACAGTGGAGTGTCTTGAGCGGAATCCAAACTGATGGGAAGGGATATTGTGGGATTCGAGTATGGGTAGGATGCGTTTGAGAAGGATTTTCTCAAAGATTTTGGAAAGGATCGGAAGTAAGCTTATCGGTCTATAGGATGATGTATAATTAACAGGTTTACTTGGTTTAGGAAAGAGGATAATTATGGAGTGTTTCCACACCAGGGGAAAGTGGGTTGTGCGGAGGATACAATTGAATAGATATGTAAGGAATATAATTGCTTTTTTGGGAAGTTGTCTGAGGATGTGGGAAGTAAGGAGATCGTGTCCTGGAGATTTGCGAGGTTTTAGGTTCTTTAAAAGGAATTCGACCTCAGAGGGGTTGACGGCTGTAGGAGGTAAGGACAGAGGAATCGATGAAGAGAGGAATTCTTTAACTTCAGCAGTATGGGAGGGATGGAGTTCAGGATGAGGAGTGAATGTGTACGATAGATGTTTAGCAAACTCTTCTGCTCTATTCTCATCTGACGAAGCCCAGGAACCATCATCACGTCGGAGGGGGTGGGAAATGGATTGGAATTTAAGGATTTTTTTTGTTACATTCCAGAGGGAGTTATCACTTGCAGATAGTGAGGAAAGATAGGAATTATAGGATTGGGATCTAAACGTAGCCAGTTTTTGTTTTACCTGCTTGTATTATAAACTAGCTAACGTACCTGTCGTTGACGGATATATAGTTAGAGGGTGCTACATCTAACAATCGTTGAATCCATACCTAAATACCTAGATTACCTACCTGCTAAATACCTTCAAAAGTCAACCATTAGCCATTGCTGAGTTTATCGCTGGCAAAATAACCAAAATAACATTGGACATTGAGCCACCAACATCCGTGTAAAATTAGAACTAGATCTGAATATTGTGGTCGGCGGGGTGAAATTTTTGGGAGATTTTTATTCATTTCCGGCTAATCTGTTTGGTTAATCCTAAAATTGTATAATTGTATATAAAATCATATATTTTTTGGGCTTGGGAAGTTGAATCGAATGACACCTTGAACGGGCAGATGGGACAAAGTTAAACAATGAGCGTGTTTTACCCTTATTTTAAGCGACAACGCGTTGCAGATATTCAGGATTTCAGATTTTTCGTTCAGTTGTGATAATTTTCAATCAGTTGAATAGTACAACTTTTAAATGTGGCTCTCGGTAGAACAGGTTGGGATGAGAATCGAGGTAACCGGGATCTCTAGACAATTTTTTTTTAAAATTTTCTTTTATTTATTGAGTATTACAACAATCTGTCACTTGGTCATTAGTTATAGTGAGGTAGGATAACATTCACACTATATGTACAAAAAATATAAAATAAATAGAAGCAAAATAACAATAAATCATAATCAAAAAGTATATACAATAAATAAATAAAATCATCTAAAAATAAGAAAATTAAAACTAAGCCAAAAACACATGCATACCAATATACAATTAACAAATGAATCAAGAATTCATAACTTTATTATACTCTTGGTTATACTCAATATTTTGTTTTCATTTAAAGCCTATGTTTTAAGTCAAGCAAACCTAAATATAATGTCAAAATTTCAAAAGTCTACCATTAGCTATTACTGAGCTTACCCCTGACAAAAGTTATTTGGACAATGCGGACATACAGACTGACAAATTTTTTTTAAAAAGTGGAATCGGTGTCTGTAATGTATGAAACGGTAAGATATCATGAAACGGGTTGATTCTATTCAATGTAGAGACAAAATCTTTATTTTATTTATATAGAAGATAGGGAGTATAAATAAAAAATGACCGTTTTATCAAATTCAAGATTTCAAAGAACTGTAAATATTTTAATCCTATTTAATACTTAATAATCCCTTTAAAGCATTTTGTAAACTTGTTTAATCCCATAAGACTTCTTCCAAAAAAAAAGCCTCAGTTTAGTTATTGGTTTCAAAGAAGAAACATGACATGAGAATTCTCGTAATTTTAAGGCATTATTGGAAACAAAATTTCACAGCCGCTGAAGCAACTCCTGAAATTATTAAATATGAAGGGAAAAGTGTCCTTGACTAGTGCACTATAGGGCGTTGGTTTGTTAAATTAGGTAAGTTAAGTTAGGTAAGTGGAGATACGACGTTGGAAAGGAAGAAGAGCCCCGGGCGACCATCAATGGATATTGATGAGATTCTGTAGGGAGCTGTTGAGTCAAATCCGTCCATATTCGCGAACTTGCCAGGGAGAGTGATGTGTCGAAAGATACTGTTAATCGCCATCTACTCTCCATAGGGAAGGTGAAAAAGACCAATAGACTGGTCCCTCACGAACTTAATTCTCACCAATCAGCTAAGAGATTAGAGATTTGTGAAAATTTATTGAAAACTGATATGAGATTTAACCGGAAGATTGTCACCTGTGATGTAAAGTGGATTTACTGGTGAAATCCGAATACCCATGAGCCAAAGCTAGATGTCGTTCAAACTGCTTTTTTGGTTGCTGCAAGGGAACAATTTGAAAAAAAATCCATGCTTTGCGTTTTTTTTTTGGAATTCTGAAGGTGTTATCCATCACGAATTTGTTCCTGACGGATGTTCTATGAATTCTGAACTCTACTGCGAACAACTGGAAAGATTGTACGTGAAGTTGTAAGAGCGTTATCCTGCTTTGATCAACCAAAAAGGAATTTTATTCCAACAAGATAGTGCTCTTCCTCACACTTCCCGTCGAACCAAAGAAAAGTTTATAGAACTTCATGGGTTGGAACTCCTGTCTCATCCACCATAGAGTCTAGACCTCGCACCATCGAATTACTACATGTTTAGATCCATGGCCCATTTTCTTCATGGGAAAAAAAATTAATAATTTGAAGTTGAAAGAGTTCAAGAGTTCTTTGATAGCCATCCCAAAGAATGCTATCAGCGTGGGATCGAGCAATTGGCTAACAGATAACTAATGACGGTAGATAACAATAGACTATAC